TACAAGTGTATTATTTTTCTTTGAGGTTATCCTGTAATTTATTATTTTTTTTCTTGCTTAAAATAGTCTGCTTTATCTTGTAATCTACTTGACTTCCTTGCCATTTAAAAGTTTTGTATCTATACTATTTCCTCTTTTTGCTTCATAGTTTACATCATTATATATTGATATCTCTGGTTCCCTTTTTCAGTCTTGTAGAGTTGTTTTACTTTAAATACATCTATATCTGAATTGAGTTCTGGGTGGTGATGTCATATAGAACCCCAATTTTGATAGCCAGTGTTTAAATTGCCCTTCCCTATGAACCCAGTATGGAGTCCTACTTTAGCTCTGTGGGTTAATACAGTGGACTGCAAGGTCAATTTGAACTGCAAAGTTGCTGGTTCAAGCTCACCAGCTGATGGTTGACTTTTGAACTTTTTCTTGGTTGGCAATGGAGGATGTGTCCGTTCCATACGCTGCCATTTACTATGAGACTCACAGGGATGAATCCATGTCTCATCACCACTAGCAATTTTCTTTAAGAAACTTTGACCTTCCTTTGAAAATTAGTCCAAATTTTGTTTGTAGATATTCAAATGCTTCTGTTTATGCTCTTCTGTGAGTTGTTTGGTACCCATTTTACACAAACTTTTTAGAAACCCAAAGTCTGTCTTGGATTATTTCATAGGCAAACCTATGACTAATTTGTAAATAATTTGCAACATAATTTGACAGGATCATTTCACATGTAAGCTCAATGTTGTCATCAGCCATGGACATAGACGGGCATTTTAATGTAACCAGAGTGCAGATAATTTTTCACTCACCCTTATATATTCTGGTAGACAAAAATATCGTACTTTTTCTTAAGTATGATATTTTAGATTTTGGGTGGTTGAGAAAACATTTCTATATATCCTACTATAATTATATTTAATTTTAAAGTATAGTGGTTTATAGTTATTGTACTTTAGGTTTTTAATGAGAAAAAAGCTTAAACAATAAAGCTATTACTGTCACCTGTAGTCTTAATTTTTTTTTAGATATTGTATTATTATATGCTGTGTATACTAGGTTAGAATTCTAGTGAGAAGATAAAGAATAAAATAAAAAAATATTTAGAAAAGGAGATAATATGTTGAACTTTTTGCATTCACTAAGAGGTTTGTAATATTTATAAATGAAATGTGGGTTTCTATTTCACTGTATATAAAATATCAATATATCCAGAAACTATGTCATAAATTACCTCATAGTAATTAAAAAAAATTTTTTTTAATGAAGTTTTTATTGTGAATTGAGTTAGAATTTATAGGGCAGATTATCAGTGTTATATTCCATAAATCATATTTTGCTTCATTGTAGTGATTACAGTGCCCTCCATGTACCATCTTTTTTTAATGGTTTTTATTGTGGATTGCTAAGAACTTAATAACTTAAGAATTTTCGGCGTTCCGGAACAGGAAGAATCACACAAGTCCACAGACAAGATAGTTGAAGAGGTTCTGGAAGAAAATTTCACTAACATCCTGAAAAGTAAAAAGATAAGCATTTGAAAAGCTCAACGAATCCCAGGAAGGATAGAGTCTAAAAGAAAATCACCAAGACATATCATAATCAAGCTCTCTAAAATCAAAGATAAGGACAGAATCCTGAAAGCACCACCTGGATCTCTGTTCCTACATTTTTCCTTTCTTTGACATTTTTATTATTTTGACCTTTGAGTTCATTGTTGTAATTTTGTTCTGTTCTGGACTCTGCTATCCATCGTCTCAGTTTCAGGTGTTATTGCCACACCTGTCAATCTCTGGTTGTTGTTAGTTCTTCTTGGTTTTCAATCTAAAGAACTCTCTTTAGGATGCTTTGAAGTGTTGGATTGGCTTTGACAAAATCTCTTAGCTTCTGTTTATCCTGGAATGTTTTGATTGCACCATCATATTTGATTGACAGTTTTGCTGGATAGATGATTCTTGGTTGGCAGTTTTTTTCTTTTAGGATTTTGTATATGTCTCCCCATTGCCGCCTTTCCTGCATGGCTTCTGCTGAATTGTCAGAGGTTAATCTGATTTGTTTGCCTTTGTAAGTAACATTTCTCTTTTCCCTGGATGCTTTTAGGATTCTCTCCTTATCTCTGATTTTGGAGAACTTGTATTATATGTCTTGGTGATTTTCTTTTGGGGTGTATCCTTCCTGGGGCACGTTCGACTTCTTTCATCTTTCAAGATGTTAGGGAAATATTCTTCCAGAAGCTCTTCCACTATCTCCTCTGTGGACTTCTCTGATTCTTCCTGTTCCAGAATGCCAATAATTCTTAAGTTGTTCATCTTCATGTTATCCACCATGAATCTTAGACTCTCTTCAGTATTGAGAGATTTGTCTTCCAGATTGCTGGTTCTGGCTTCCATCTCTTCAGCTCTGCTCCTTTCCCCTTTCAGTGTATTGTCCATTTCTGATATTTTATTATTAATCATTTGGACCTCTTTTTGCAGGTTTTGAATAGTTTCCAATGCTGTATCGATCTGGTTTGATTGTTCTTGTAGTACTTTCCTGACGTCTTTCTTGTTCCCTCCATCCCTTTTTGGAGCATTTGAATTTGTTTCCATATCGTTCTTCTGAATTCCTTCTCAGGCAAATCTAAAACCTGCTCTTCCTCTTCTGGGGATCCTTTGTTTGTCCCCAGCTCATTTCTCTCAGTTACTCTTTTCAGTTTTTTATTATGTTTTGAGATAATTTGTTGTGTTTGAGATCTTTTGTTTGTCATTTCCAGTAGTTATGTGGGTTTTTAATGCTTAAATGGATGTTTGTTGTTGTGTTATTAAGCTTACTGGGTGTCTCCTGGTGGATATGATCAGGAGATAGGCTTCCCTATTCGCATGTAATGCTTAGCAGCTGTTATTGGCTCTTGTCTCAGTGGTGGAAAATTATGGGGTATGCTTGTAGCTTGGCTATATGGCCATGATTGCTGACTCTTCATGGGTAATATAGGGAGAAAAAACTCCCACCTCCAGGACAAATGTGTGATCAAAAGGACCAAGAGCAGAAGCCATATAAAAGCAGAGATAAAAACCACCACTTTGAAACAAAAATAAAACTGTGGCTGACTGTCCACTCACCTTGCTACACAGGCAGTGTGTGTGCATTGTAGAAGCCTCCAGCAGTGGGTGGGGTGTCCACTTGCTCAGGCCCCTCCTCTAATCACCACCTTAGAGGTACACAGGTAGATATTGAGAAGTTAATGGGAGAAAAAGATTGTTTACTATTTTTATCTCTGAAGGTCAGTTTAATATCTGCATGTAAACAGTGTAATTCTTGGAATAGTTGCATCTTTTTATGTTGGGATTTTACAGATTGTTCATATGGTTTGTCTGTCAGGCCAAACCTGCTTTTTTTCTTGCTGGGTTGGCAGGGGTTAATGGTTCCACACAAGTTAACTTTAGAGCGGGGATCCACAGGCAGAAGTCAAAAGTAGCAGCCAAATTTGCCCTTGTTTCAATGAGGCTCTTTCTCTCTGTGCATGGGAAAGCTGTGCTCTCAACCCTGGACTTTTTTTTGGGTGCACACCCTCCGCCTGAAGGTGTCCAGGTTGGGCAAAGAAGGCGCGACAAGGAAGAGGAGGAAAAAACATATAGAATTCCATTCACCTCCTTTTGTAAATGTCACTGTGCAGGTTCCCTGTATGGGTTTGGGTGTAGCTCTGCCCTCTGCCTTCCGCCCCAGCAGGATGGCCACAGAGGGAGTTCCTTGTCTTGACTGATTTGTAAATAGCAATATTTTTCTGTATATTGTGATTTTTCCACTGGCAATTGCGGGAAACTGATGCCCTGATCCTTATGCTAGATTCAGAACTCTGGTGCAGTTTCATGAGCGCCGTGTCTCTGGGTTTTTAACCCCTTCCCCATGGACCCTGTCTTACCTGCCTCTGCTCTGCCACCACCAAACCATTAGTCTACCCCATTGTATAGTGTTTTGATACATTTTATAATCATTTTTCTGAATTCCTTCTCAGGCATTTCCAAAGCCTGACCATCTTCCAGTATGGAGTGTAGCTCCGCTTCCAGCTCATTTGCCTCAGTCAGTTTATCTAGTTTCTGGACATGTGCTGATATGGTCATCTGTTTCTGTTTTTTTGGCATGTTTCAGGAGTTAGCTGTGGCCTTAATACTTAGATGGGTGTGTATTTTGGTATTATTTATGCTTTTAGATTGCCGCCAGGTAGATGTGATCAGGGGATGGACTTCCCTTTTCACTGTTCTTCCTGAAAAATTTCAAGATGCCACTGTTGTTTGTTATCATATAACTCAGGATTTAATTTTCAGCCTGTTTCCTTTTTTCTCTGCCTGTCCTGCTCCACATCTCTTCAGGCCTTTTTCCTAGTGATAAACAATTCCGGACCAGCCATTTTGCAATGCCGTTTGGTTTTAAGTGTAAACTGTCTCTTTAAATTTCGAAGGAGGTCTATGTGCATGCGTAGTAGAACTCTCTGGGGGTGGGGGTGGGGTGGGGGTGGGGTGTCCACTCGCTTAGGTACCCCCTGTAGTCACCAGAATGGAGGTGCTCACACAGTAAGAGACCAATGAACAGATACCAAAAAAAAAGAATGTCCACACCTTTATCTCTGGGGTTCTGTCAGGCATTCATGGCTGCTCTGATCCTTACCCCGTTGGTCTTGCCCAAGATGGCGGCTCCAGGAGTAGCTGAGCATCTTGGATTAGAAAATACTAGATTCCTTGCTTCTGCTACAAATTCCCCTAGCTGTTAAGCCTTCCAACCCTCTAAATATTCCTTTATATGTGGTTCAGAGTTCTGGCACCATCCCCTGAGCCTGCTTGGTCCAATATCTGTGTTGTTGCTGACGGAGCTCCTCACTGCACTTCCACCTGATCCGCCATCTTGTTTGTTCTCACCTCATGGTAATTTTTAAGGGAACAAATTTTCTACTCCAGAATAATTTTTATTCTAAAATTTAAAGTTATTTTAAAGGTACATGTTTATACAACTGTTTGTTAATTTTCTTTTAGAATTGTAGAAGAATATCATGACTTATATACATTGCAAAGAGGAAGAATGGAGAATGATATTCAACAGTTAATGTCAGAAAGAGATATCTGGAGTTCATCCACATATAAATTGGCTCTAAAGGTTGGTTCAGGTGACTTATTTTGTTGACAAAACATTTGTTGAAAAAAACATTAAAATTATGTGTGTGTGTATATATATACAAGGAGCTCTGGTAGCGTAGTGGTTACAAATCGGGCTGTGAACCGCAAGTTCAACAGTTCGAAACTACCAGCTATTCCGTGGGAGAAAGATGAGGCTTTCTGCTCCTGTAAAGATTCATAGCCTCAGAAACCCTGTACAGGGTCGCTGAGTCGGAACTGACTCCACGGCACATAACAATAACATATATATATATTTGATTGATAAAAGTCTTTTAATGGGCCTTGAAAAGGGAAATTTTAATTTTCTTTGTATCAAAAGAGTTTCTTCTATTATCCAGTTACCTAGCATTGCATAATTAAGGGTTTTTTCCTCCAGCCAGAACTTATTAAAGTATAATCACAAATTATTTTTCTATTTGTGAACCTATTTAAAATTTCATCCTCAATTTATTACTCTTCCAAGGACTCCTGTTATGGCACTGTAGGGTAAGCACTGGACTGTGAACCACAAAGGTCAGCAGTTCAAACCCAGCAACTGTTCCTTGGAAATTCTATACAGAATCACTGTGAGTTGAAACCACCTCAGTGGCACTTAACAACAACAGCAACAACAATGAAGTCTTCCAATCATAGGGTTGCTGTGAGTTGTAGCTGACTTAATAGCACCTAACAACAACAATAATGAGCTAAGCAATGTGGTTCTTGTTTTCCACATAATGTAACCTTCTTAGGATTATTGAATTTTATACTTTTGTTCTATTGTTTTGGTATCCAAGATGATAAATGAGGTGAATTATGATACTCTGAGGAACATTGTAGTAATGCATTAGGAAAATAGCAGAATCCCATAATGTTTTACTTTTTTACTGTGATAAAGAACATGTGACAAAATATTTGTATTACAACCATTTTTGTGTGTACAATATGGGGCCTTAATTATGTTCACTAGGCTATGAAACCTTTACCACAATCCATTTCTAAATTTACTCATTTACCCTTAACAGAAACTCAGTACCCTTTAAACAGTAACTTCCCCTTTCCTTCTCCCACTCTTCTCTGGTAGCCACTAATAACTTTTGTCTGTGTTGATTTGTGTACTCAAGATATTTTATATAAGTAGGATCATATAATAGTTGTCCTTTTATATCTGACTGACTTCACTCAGCATACTGTTTTTTTTAGGTTCACACATTGTAGTTACATATATCAGAACTTAATTCCTTCTTTATTTTTTAAAACTTTTTATTGTGAATTGAGTGAAATTCTACAGAGTAGTGAAGATCATTAGTGTCACATTCAACAAATCATATACTTTGCTTCATTATATGGTTGCAATCCCCTCTATGCCCCAACAGTTAACAGCATTTACCAATTCATTCCAACCGCTGCATTTGTTCCTGTGTCTCCTGCCACCCCCATCTTTCCTTTGCCAACCTCCCTCCGCTTATATGTTGCCTGTCCCATCACCCATGTCAACACGTGTCTACCCTCTAGCACATGTATGAAAAAAACCATGCAGGGATATATAATCTTTTAAACAGCCACAAGACACCCCCCCACACACACAAGACTGAAATTCAAAAGGAATACATGAGCAGGAGTGTAATCTTGCTGACGACCATATTGGTCTTACTGGTGAGTGGAAGATAGTGAAAGGCAGCAATGAAGAAATGGGCTGAATTCAACCATGGTTCATAGACTCACATTGGCCTGGAGATGAGAGAGAGAAGAGGAAGGGCTGGTTGGTCCAAAGTGTGGTTAGACCTGGGGACACCTGAGCTCATGGATAAGGACATAGCTATGGAGAGCTAGAGCTGAGAATGAAGCATCCAGCTGATATAAAGTGAGAGGAGATGCACAAGAACACCCAAACTTGCAGATAGTACCCATCTGACCTAACCTCGATGGCTTGATAATCAGAATTCAACTAGAGGAAGATTAAAAAATTTTTTTTTTAAATTTTGACAAAAGAAATGATAAATTGCTATAATTTGATGAACTTGACCTATACTCATGGATGTAGTAACTCTAAATACCAATAGAGAGTGATGGAGTCTTCACATCAAGTATCAATGCTATCCCTTTTGTACACAGGCTGAATAGGGATGGACAACTTAGATATTGGCTACCTAAAATGAGGGCGCGTTAAAGGCATGAAGTGACTGGCTTACAAGGTTTCAAAAGGGAGTTTAGTTTAAGAGTGTGGGGGGGGGGGAAAGAGAGTCCCCACTGAATAGTTTGCATCTTGTCTAGATGGGTCTGGTGAAAAGAGATGGGGATAAGATTCTTATGATTCAATAGTGAGTAATAATTATCATGACTAAATACAACTGTCACAATTGTAAAGGTAGAAGTGTTGTATCAGAAATGGGGGAAGTAGTAAATATTGTCAGGAGGGACCAGTCACTGGAGAACGATATCACGTTTGGTAAGGTGGAGCGTCGGAGACAAATAGGAAGATCCCCAGGGAGATGGATTGGCAAAATGGCAACATCAGTGAGCTCAA